CACACACACACACACACACACACATTTGTCAGTTGAGCCAAATGTATTTTTGATGAATGATTAGCGGGGCTTTCCAAGAATCTTGGAAAATAACACTTGAGGGGGTTTTAGCATAGCCTTAAGATTCATGAGCACTATTAACTTCCTTATGTTACCATTTTGCCAAAATAATTAATAGAGCAGCAGAATGGGGTTTTCCTTAGGGGTTTTCCAAACAGGGGTCTGATCACTTTATCCATCCTTAAATTTGTAGTGCCAAAGATAAATAGCAACCTTATACTTTTCCACTGGGGGCCTTTCTATTATACATTTTAGAGGGAGGACCTATATGGGGGAGAGAAACCATGACTAATTCAATTTAATCACTCCCAAAATGTATCCAAAGTTGAGAATGCCTAAAGAAAATATACTTTAAAATTTTAAAATAAAAAATGTTATATCATTTTAATCAGCACTCATTAGAACCAATTTTAACGGCATGCTAACAAAATTTTCCAAACACGGTAACTTCTGTGGTGGCAGGACTGTGTCTCATCACTGATGTGACCCCCATGCTTAGAAGGGTGCTTCGCACATGGCTTATGCTCCGTGGCTATCATCAAGCAACTGTCCTACTGTTGGGGTCCCTTCCAGTTGACCACTTTGATGATGATGATGATGATGATGATGATAATGGCAGCAGGGTTATGTACTTGGGAAGCAGTGTCCATTAATCCTCACAGCAACGCTGCTAAGTAGTTAAAATTACGGCCCTTATTCTACAGGGGAGGGAAGTGAGGGTTCGTGAAACTCCATAACATGCTCGGGTCACACCAGAACCAGCTACAAAGTGGTAGAGCTGGGATTCAAAACTAGATCTCCCTAAGTGTGGAGACCGAATTCTTATCACTGCCTGTCTATAGTCAGTGGTAGGTTTGAGATGGTCAACTTGAATTCTTGCCTGAAGTCATGAGGAAGGGTCCTTAGGGTATTTCAACATCATTTTTGGCAAATGTGTAGTAAGAGGGAAGAATTTCTATTTCAAGCCACACTCCAGTGGAGGTCATATGTTTGGCGACAGTGCTTCAGAAACTGATCATTGGTGATTCCAAAATGACTCTAAATGTACGCATGCGTCCCCCTTTTTGAGCAACTCCTGCCCCCATGCAAAGAAAATCTTTGTCAGATGGTGGGAATGAGGTTCCAAGACTAGTTCATAAAAGTCCATTTAACTTAGAATAAAACTACAATGTATCCTTAGTGATGAACTAGTAATGAAACCAGATGAAAAAGGGTACCACTCAGTTAGACATAATTCATAAAATTAAGTTTGCCGCTCAAGGAAATATAGGCTTAATGAAGAGATTTTTTTTTTTAAACACGAAGATTTATGGATGCTTTTTATAAAAGGCTTTTAAGCAGAGGTAGCACTGGCCCTTTAATTCCAATTTCTCATCAAAACCTGGTTTTCCTCTTCTTTGTACCTTAGACACAGGTGATATTACAGGGCGCTCTTGCACTTGACACCGTCATTAGATTGATTTGGTGCACATTTAGAATAAAAGATGGAGGGAGATAAAAGGGAAGGCGGAGGGGTGAGTCCCCTCGTGGGCGTTGGGCTGGGCTGGGGTGACTAGAGGAGATTAAGAGGGTGAGGAGAGAGGTTAGCAAAGGGGATGTGTGTACAGAGATGAGAAATTAAACACGTGAGCCACACATGGGGAACCAGGACAGGAGGGAAGAACAGGGTGTGCACACACCTCCTGCGGAAGAAGCACAGCTGTGGGGAGGAGACGTCAGGAGCGGCTGTGGATGTGCACGGCCAGTGTACGCAGTGTCTGCGTAACTGTGTATTCTTATGCCAAGGTGTTCACTCATTCAATTTGTTGAGCATCTTCTTTGTGCCCACCACTGTGCTCATCGAGAAAGTCTGGGTCCTCCTGGAGCTCACATTTTTGTCAGAAAAAGAGCCAAGAAACAAACAAACCCATCTAGAAAAATCAAATCAAATCATAGACAGTGGTAACAGCCAGGATGAAAGTCAGAGAATAAATAACGGGCACCAAACTGGAAGGGAAGTCTCCTGGAGAAACACGAGAGCCACGCCTGAGGAAGAATGAGAAGCAAAGCATTTCAGGGAGAGGGACCGAGAAGAGTGAAGGGCCTGGAGAGAAAAAGAACCGGGCGTGTTCTAAGGATTGGCTAGGAAGACAGTGCGACTGCAGCTCAGTGGTTAAGAAGGAGAGACAGATGTGATGAGTGAGAAGAGGGAGGCAGGAATGGGTCCAGGAATGAGCTTAAGCGCCAACCTGAGAGGATAGGATTTAATTCTAAGTGCCTGGGGAAGTACTGGGGGCTCTTAAGAGAGGGAGTGACAGGGTCAGAGGAGTTTCATAAAGATGGCTCCCGCTGTGGGGAGGAGAATGCGTTGGAGGTCAGAGAGTGGCTGTGCTTATCACCGCGGTGCGTGCCCTTCTGTCCCTTTTTACGGGCACCGCACAGACTGGCAAGTAATACTGTCACTTGCCATTTGGCATTTTACAGCTGAAAGGACATTTAGTGTGAGTAATGCGGTTTTGAGATTTTGGGATTTCATACAGCCGTAGACAACAAAAGTGCAGGCTCCCAGAGTGTTGCAACTTTCTATTTGGCTGTAAAAAGTAACAGCTCAGCTACCATCTGTGATCACCTTCATTCCATAACAAAAGATATTTTAAAACCCAAACTATAAGGACATACTCTCAGGGGGAAAAAAACCCACAATTTTATAGAAAATGCTACGCTTTCCTTATATTTTCAACATTTTGCTTTAGTACCAGTGAAAACTTCCTCACGGACTGGGTACACATCCACACATCAGTGTTCAGAACTTCAGTATTTAGGAACCACTGAGCCCACCCCATTTCACAGATGAGACAACCGAGGGTCGGGAGTCATATGGCTCCTTCCAGGTGACGAGGTGAGTTAAGGGTAGAGAGCCGAGGCCTCGGTCTCCTGCCTCCAGGTTCACTCTCACCCCATTACATCATCACGCTGTGTATTTCCGCTTACTTCTGCTTTGCCAAGGTTCAGATACTGTACAATATATTCCTACCCAGTGCAGAGCACACTGGCCATTTTCACTTCCCTGCCAGTATTTCTGAGAGCTAAGACACTTATTAATAAATAAACACTCAGCAAAACAGCTCTCAGCCTGAAGCCCAACAAAACGGAATTCTTTTCTTCATGAAGAAGAGTTAAGGGGCCTCTCACCTGATCTTCAGATATGCCGCAACTCCAAACACCAACAACACCACAGCGATGACGGTCACTGTAATGGCGGCGATGCTGCCTGTGAAAGAGGAAAGACACGGGAAGGAAAATGAGGCAGAGTACTCATTCAGGTCTTTCTGTGTAGAAGGTAGAGCTGGAAAAAAACCCAGGCTCTCACTTCTTTTTATCAAAATGCTTTTCATGCTAGGTGAGGTGAGGTAAATGGTCAATATTTATTAAGACCTTTTGGCTGGCTTGGAGGTCAGAGAACAGTCCACAGTAATATTTGATCATCTTTTTAATAATAACACCAATCTGTTGCTGCTGCTGCCGCCGCCGTTGTTTGCAGCAGTAGGGGATTTAAAATCTCCTGACATCCTTTTTTTTTTTTTTTTCCTTTTGTATGTTCTGGCTCTTCTTTCTGCCATTTGCAAAATATTGGGAGACTTGGGATGTTTTATTCAAGGGTTACTACAAAGTAATGTGGTTGGTTTTTAAATAAACCAGATACACACAGCTGTTTTCAGTAGTGCCAACTTCAAAGGGGCCATCCTGGTAGGAGATGCACTAATTTGAATGATGCCATCTAATCAAAGCAGTTTTTAAAATTCCTCATTAGGAAGTGTGTCCAGTTTCCCATCCTCAAAAGGTAAATTTGATTTTGTAGAGAATAAAGTCAAGTTAGGTGTAAAAAGAAGGTAAAGTCTCGTAGGTAACAGTATTTTTTGTTTGTAGAATTAATCAGGTGCAATTATAAAGTAACATGAATGTTTTATTGTGTAGTTTGAAATCTGGTTCCAAAGGCAACTATTAAGGGGCAGTTAAAAAAAAAACACCTTAGAGCATACAGCTTTGTAAGACTAACCATACTGCTTCCAATGATTACTACTTCGAAGCACAACCCTCTTTTTGTGTGAGCTTTGGGCTAATAATGTATAGACTTCAGTTTTATTTCACCTTCGAAATGCCCAGAATCAATTGAGCTCTTGTCCCCTATAGTTAAAGTGACTTTTTTAGCACTGATGCTGGTGTTAGGGACCCCATTTACTCTTTCAGGCTGCTGGGAAATTATTTCCTACTTCAACAAATGAATAGGACTTTGAAACACTTTGGAAAGAGCATCTGAGATCTGGAGTCTAAATATATGGATTCAAGTGTGGTTCCACCATGACTGGCCATGTAACCATGAGCTGCATACTTAGCCCCGTCCACTCGTGTACCACTCACCTGCTGTGACAGAGAAGGAAGGGTTCCTCTGTTCTCTCCCACAATCTTCAGAGGATTAAAGGAGACACCATGTGCAGCAAGCTAAAGCCCTTTCCAAATGCGCCGCCTGGAACTGGGGTCCATCTCTTGTGGACTAGGTTTCAAAGCTGATGGACCTGCCCCACCTTTTTGGAGATTTATTAGTTGTAGACTATTTTGCCATTTCTCCTTTTATTTTTCCCATCTCTTAGGAATGGCTTTTGTATATTGTTCTTGGCATTAGCCCTTCCACCAAAGGAATTAGAGTAAAGCTAAGAAGCAAATCAGTCTAATTAACTCTTTAGTAACTCCCCAAAAGTTTTAGGTGAGAGGAGGCTACGGCAGACATCCATGCCCCTGCTGGTTATAATTTCCAAAAAGAGGTTCAGTGCTAACATAGAGACTAAGGCCATAGCTTGGTGTGTCTACGCAGATTGACCACATTGCACCATTTCAGGGCTTCCACACTTCTGGACACTCACACACCCATTTCCTTGCTCCCAGAATCCTTTACAGCATGGTTAGTATAATTATCAATGCATTTCTCTTCCCTTTTTTATTATTGTGAAGATAGAATTATGATCCTAAATGCTCAAATGTGCAGACCAGATCAAATAGAGAAGGTTTGAGGTCAGGTCCAGTTATGAAAAGCCACCACTCCTACTTTGAAAGGCTGCACTTAACTTCTTGGCCTCCAAACTGTTCTGAAATTAGAACAATTCAAAGTTCACCAAAGCATCTTAAGAGCTTTTTTAAGAGCTTGTGAAACAAGAATTGTTACTGCAAAGTAAGGTGATGGGAGTACTTCAAGATTCAAAAACATGCAGTGATTGCGATTAGGGGCAATTTAAATAACTGACCTTTTAATTTAATTCCCTCTCCCCCCTCCTCATTTAAAAAAAATGGAAGAAAAAGAAGAATGTAGTTGATTTCTCTGTAAGACTCTTCTTTCTTGCCCAGGGGTAGTTTAATATAAGAAATTGTAGGTTTGACCTTTTTTAAAGTTTCTTCCCTAATTCCGAGCAGTTGGATCTCCTCCAACTCTGCCATTTACTGGGTTTATTTATATACCACCTCTTTCTAAAGATAAATCAGGCAGGGCCCCAACTCAAGTACTTTTTTTTTTTTTTTAACAGCAAGTGATAGAGTGACCCTCTTCTCCTCTATGTGACTGGTGGCTGTCAAGCTCTCAGTGTAACACCAGTATTCAAACAGGGCTCTTTGAGGCCACCTTTTCTTGTTCACAGAGGATAGTCTGTGTGACCAGAGCTGAAATTAACAGGTAATTTTCCACCTGATGGGTCCTGGAGGGCAGCAGAGTTGAAGGGCACTTCTGAGGGTTGAAACTGCCCAATATGAGGCTAAAACATGTCTCTTTTAAAGTAGATTGTACTTAGACCATTGTAGCTATTCTGCCACCCACCAGCCCTTCTCAGAGGGTGCCATCCATGGGAACAAGTGTCCTCTGGAGCTAGAAGACCTTTATCAGGCCCCTACCCTCAACATCTTGTATCCTGAGCTCTCTGTCACCTCCATAGCAGCTGCTACCTTCAGAAGCAGCCAGGAACCTCACCCTGGGAAGTTCCACACCTCAGGGCATCATAGTTTGAGCATATGAGGAGGTGGCTGAGCCAACATTAGCACAACTTTATATGGTAACTGAAAAGGCTTGATTTCCTCCTTGTGAAAACAAATGTCATTTTCCTCTGAGTTCTGTTTAAACTACACTGGAATTCCCCATCTCCTCCTACTCCTTCTTTGCTCAAAGTGGGGCAGGGAGAGGGCGCATGAGGAATGTGTGGCTAAGGGGGGGGTGTGCTTTGCCCTGTGAGGAAGATGGGGACACTTAGTGGGTAGGGCACTGGGAGTGGGATGGGAAGGGGGCTGGCATTGCCGTTCTTCCTCGTTGGGATTTGGAGTTACAGACTGAGTGTGACTCACACTGTAAAGCCCTGGAGCCAGGAGAAAATAAGAGAGAATTGGAGGAAACTTATCTGTATATTTTATGAGCCAAGATATAAGAATATTCCACTGTGCTTGCACATTCCACTATGCCAACATGTTGCCTGACCAGACGGCTGTTGGAGATACGTGAGCCAAAGCCTCCTTACATTTTGGGCCTCTCTGATGGCTGGGATTTCTCAGGGTACCATTTTACCACTTTCACAACAACCCAGAACAACAAAAACAAAAAATCAGAACAAGCTGAAGGATACATTTGCAAGGCCATTACTTCGGGCTGGCACGGTGCCAAGCACTTTATAGCTATCATCTCATTTCATTGTCTTCATGAGATGAGTAGAATTATTCCCATTTTATGGATGAGAAAGTTATGGCTCAGAGGGATTAAGAACTTGATTCAGGTTTCACAATCTGGTAAATGATTAAGCTAACATTTGAACCCAGGACTATTCCATTCCAGGTTTTGCATTTTTAATCATTAGGGTACTGGTTACTTCCTTGGCCCTTTTCTCAGGTTGGCCAACTCTTACTCTTCCTTCATGATAATTAAATATCAATCCTTCTGAAAAGCTTTCCTGACATCCCCCAAGCAAATAACGGTGTTGTGTGTTAGCTCTGTGTCTGCTTCTTTCAAACACTGTACTTTGTTTATGAGCTTCCCCAGGCAGACTTGATTCATCTTGCATCTGTTCCCTCTTCTCCCCACACTCTTAGCACTGACCAGTCTGTAGCCCATCGTGGGCACTCAACTCATTTAATGTCAAATGAATAAGTATAATACTGACAAAAACAAAAGAGAAAAGATAACTGGCAGTTTTTGAGCTCAATCACTGTGCTAAGAAAGTTCCCAAGCAACAGGCTCCCTACCTATTATCCATCTTGGAATCCCCTGCTCCAGGTTTTACCTGGGTATGTACTCCTGTGACTCTACAGCTATGCTCCAACTACCGCAGCCTGTGCTTGTGAGTCCCCATGGATGACTGAGCTGGAGGAGAGTTATTTTAGGAATACAGTCTGAATAAAGTCTGATAATATTCTTGAGGTAGCCAGAGCAAGCTCCCAGAAGGCCATGCTACTCGTCAGACTAACCAAGGAACCGGGCTGCCCTGGGAGTCATTACTTAGCCTGTGCTGACTCTGTTCTGTGCCCTGTGCAGCCCTGCAATAAACTGTGGCCTCATTTTAAGGGGTCTTTCCCCCAACACCTGCCTCTCATGCCACAGACATACCCCCCTCTTTATCACAGTCCTGCTAGTCCTTCACAGACACAGGAAGTCTTCTACACTCAGAAGGGGCGCTCCTTTCCAAATTTTTTCCCCCCTCACTTGGCTAAAGGTGCCCTCCTGTCTTCCTGGGCTTAGTTAGCAATATTCCTAAATTTCAAATGTTCCTCTGGGGACTCTTCTTATTGAGCCATTTTCTTTTTTCCTCACTTTAAACATGAGAGAAATGTTTTTCACCTGCCTTCTTTGGCATGATACTTGCCAATCATATGCAAAATGATAATAGCAGGGTGTGGTGGGGTGAACCTGAACAGTCCTTGAAAGAAAGAGCTTTCTTAGGCTTTTTAAAAAAGTTGTCATTGCTCTGAGAGGGCTGGGGCTAGAAGAGGTGATGGTAGAAAGTTTCCAGGGGTGACAAAAAGGTAAATGTTTTGATCCTATCTGTAGATGATTCCTGAACTACATTCTCCTTGGAAATGCAACAGTCAGATTAGTTAGAATGCATGTGTAAGTACTTTGACCAAGTTCCCGGGTGGGTGTGTGTGCATGTGCGCGTCTGATCTATTTTAAGAGCCTTTAACAGCCCTCTTGACTGTTTTTCAATATTCTTGCTATTTTCTTCCCTTGTCCTGGTCCGGGGAGTAGGTAAG